GAAGTTCTTTCGCCTGTTGGTGCAGAACTTCCTGGGCTCCATTTTGTGGCCATTGCCCATTGCCCTGTCCACACAAACCACTGAAAAGAGGTTGGCCAAATCCCTCTGTCTCCCACACCTCAGGTATTTATACACATTGATGAAATCCCCTCTCAGTATATAGATATGCAAAGGTTTTATGACATTGATGAAAAAGCAAACAGTACCATCAAAAGACCAAATGAGTTATTGCCTGGTATTACAAATCTGCTTGGTTTATGCTTTACAGAAACGTTCCTCAAAACCATTTGAATAGCAAAAGTATGACCTTGAAAGATACCTGCTGCCCAGTATGTCTTCAGTATAAATGTTGTGGGAATATAATTAGTATCTCTTAGGTAAACTGCTTCATTGTAGGAATGGAAAGGTGATGAAAACCCCTTTTTCAGATTTGATTTCTTCTGTCACTGAATCTAGACTAAGAGCAATATACTCTGTAAACCTGAGATGAAAATGAAGTTATATGATGCAGAGCTGAAGTAAACATTTAAGCCTGTAGAACAACTGATAAATGTACAAATATTTGCCTTACAGGGAAGTGTTTTATGACAAAGGGAATTTATTGTGCTTTTAAAGTCAAATATTTACTTCCCGTCCTTTTGTAAGATAGCTATGATAGTCCAAGAATGTAAGTAAGACAGGCTTTATGATGGAAGATTAAAATCAAAACTGCTTTGAAAGAAAAGGTGTTCCAGTCTTTTAAAAAGGTAATAGTTGCATTGTAGTTAACACTTCCATGTAATTTGGAAGGTGCCAAATTCAAATGGGCTGATTCTTCATAAATAATACCTCAAAATATACTGCAGAAGTATAATTAGGAATAATTACTAGAATAAATCGTATAAATTCCAATTATATAGCCCATATTTGGAATACAGTGGTTTAAGAGACAGAAACATGTCTAAATCTTGTAATGCTGTGGTAGTGCTGTAACCAAAGCCAAGATACTTTGTAGACAAGGCGAGAATGTTTGAACTTGGATTCCTATTTTAAGCAAAAGGAATAAAGGAGAATGGGTAGCTTTTTAGAGAGAGTTTTTGTGTGTGTGTGTTCCTTGTCATAGTTGGTTAGTCATGAATCCTGTCTGTGTACCCTCAAAAATATGTCAATTTTTCATATTATAATTCATTACTAAGATGTTGAAAATTCTGGTTGGTGAGTTCCTAAACGTGCTTACAAGTATCCCTTGTCTGTAGAGCAGGGACTTGACTCTTCTTCTTGACAGAATTTCTTTAGGAGTATATGCCTTTAATCTGCTATTCACATCCTCACTGTTTATGTTGTACTTACTCAAAGGACCACTGGAATTGTGGATTGAACATGTCTTCCTTGAAGGATGTTGTTCAGCATATTACGTGCCGACAGCACTGGACAAATGCGAATAGCTACTAGCCATTGTTAAATTCAGCATAGCCATGCAGATGGTGACAGTTTATAGTAGAGGTTCTTGGACTTTGGTATGCATGCCGTTAGTCATTGGAGACATACTTAGGATTTTGCACTGAAGTATCAGCAGTTGTGAGTGATGGTGATAGCTATCAAGAATATCTAAAAATGCCTTGTCTAAGAAGCAAACTTGATATGTCGATATTTCATTGCAAAATACAACCAAATTGCAAGTGTGTGAATGGCAAAGTTAAGCATCTCATACAAAATTGTTTAAGCTTTCAATTTTGCATGCAGTAGCAATTCAACTAGATGTATAACATAAGTTGCTTAGCAAGAGAGGTCACCTTCGGTCTTAATTCTTCTGAAATTGCGACAGGATAATAAATGTCTGTAAAGGTATGTCAGAACTTTAAGGATTAAAGATAGCATTGTGACAGCTTCACCTGCTGTCAGGCTCCATCACTATTTCTCATCATACAACTTTGAACAGGTGTGTATATATATATATATATGTTATATATAATTACATATGTATACAATTATACACATGTATATATAATACATTATATGATATATAGAATACATAATTATGTATGTAGTTTTGTATTTATACCTACTGGACAAATGGATAGAAATAGCAGAAGTTGGACAGACTGGGAGACCAAGCTATAGTGGCAGAAATGGAGATAATCAAGAATGTCTGGCAATGTTGGAAGACATCTGTCTCCATAGATCAGATTGCAAATTATGGATCCAGTTTCAAGATTTATAATAAAATATACACTAAACCTGATTCTAATTCTAGTGTCCAGATCTGGGGTGCATAAAGTTGTAGACAGTGGCAGCTTTCTACTATTGATTTACTTGTTGAAATAGCAAAAATCATTGCAGTTAACTATAATACTAACGTTAAGAGTCTATTGCAGTCTGAAAATAGGTCTTTTCTTTTTTTTTTTTTCCTGCATTTTTAGAAAGAAAAATATATCTGTGAATAAGCAAACCTATTTTTAAGTATTTAGGAGTTAGGATGCCCTGTTTAACCTTAGTAAAGTTCAAAGTTTTCTTGTGACTACCTTGCTCAACAGACAGGATAGACAGTGCACTTTCAATGTGTTGTTTTTTTTTGTTTGTTTGTTTTTTGTTTTTTTTACTTTTTCCTGGTTTTACTGGTAACCTGTGTGTCATATTATACATTCAAATCATATTCTTAAGACATTGATTTTGGGGAAACTTCTCGAATATACATATATTATTAAAGTATCAGTTGACTTTTTTTAGAGACCCTTTTTTAGTAGGGTAAGGGTATATTATTATACATATTTTAAAGAAGTGAACAGCTGAAATACGGGAAAGAGAAGTGGACTATTTTTCACGTCAATTTCTTTCAAATATCTAGGACTTTTTTTAAAAAATATTCCTTGCATTATGTAGGAAATGATTGATTCAAGGTGTATCCTGAACAGATTTCAATTTAAGATATTAATGCTCTCAGTTTTGAAGAAGTAGTGTTCCTAATTCCTAGTTCCAAATTCGGAAATCCGGAGAAAACTGTGATTCATTAATAGGTTAGAAAAGTTTGGTTTAAATTATTTGGAATTGTCTAAGCAGGAATTGGGACATAATTCTGGTCTACATTGTTTGATCATCACTGATTCATGAGATCTACCATTTCTGTGTCTGCAGTTAAGTTTTTATACATTTTTATACATTTTTTTAGCTTCCATAACAAATAAAGTAAAAGTCCATTATATTTTTCTGCACTATTGAGCTTTAATGAATTTTACCAGTATTTAAAGCACGGTCTGCCTCCAATCTAAAATGAGATGGAGGAAATAATGCATGATAGTTTTTTTAGTGTCTGTAGTGTTGTGTGTCCTTGTAACATCATAATGTAAGTTACACTTAGAACTTTTATCATGTAATTCTGTAGCTTCTGAAAAACTGACATGACTTCTGATGTTATATCAGAATTAAAACCTATGTAGTGCTTTTCAGTCTACACAATGTTTTAAGTAAAATCATCTTTAGTATCTCTTTGCCAGGTAAGAGGACTCAAAAGAGAACTGAAGGAGAAAGTTAGTGTTCTGCCCAGTGAGACAGAATTTTTGGTAGTTCCACTTTACCCGTTGAAAGTAAAAGCCATTCTTGTTAAACTTGAATACGTTTTCTAAATACAATTTTCACTTGATGTATTCTTAAATTTAGTTCCCGGTTTCTGTTTTTATTCTTAATCATTTGATCACTTTTCCACTGAAGTGTTTAAGTGACTGGTTCTTAGTGGAAGGAACTGAAAAACCATCCTTAGCTTATATTCACAACATGAAGGAAAATGGGCTTTTTGAAATGAATCGTTTCAAATTCAGGAGTTACAACACTGATCATCAGTTGTGTCATTGCTGTATTTGAAGTTATTGGAACTGAATAATTTTCTTTATATTTTGAAAAGCAAGCCAAGAATAAGCTGTTTATAGTTTTGAAAGGAGCAGTTAGGTTCATCTGGAAAAAATCACTATTGGGGTTTTTGTTGCTGATTGGGCTCTTGGTGACTAACTTTTTGTGAGATCTTGTTCTAATATTTCGTAATGTCCATGAGATTGTCCCAGCTTAAATTTCATTATGCATCAGCGTTCAAGAATGTGAACAGAAAAACTTGGTGGTCAGGCACAAGACGTCATAGTCATTCTGATGCCTTGCCAAACAATAAGAAATCCTGGTGAATGGTAATTCTCTTGAGCAATGAAGAAAAATTCTGTCCTTGATCACTGATGATAAAAGAATGTCCCTTCCTATCTTTTTTCCTTGTACTTCTGAGATTTTGCAGGGGATTCTGATGTTCTTACCACTGACCAGAACAAGCAGTAAAATGTTCTGCGTGTTTAGGACGTGCTATTAATTGCGTAATGACTTATATGAGTCTTGAGGAAGGTAGCTTTCACAGCTCTGTGGTTGTACTATTGAAGCCAACTTTGAAACACTGTGGCAAGCTAGAAAAAAACTAGGCCCTAATGTCCAGCTGGACAGACCTTCCTTCCCCTCCTTTCCCCCTCCCATACATATGCTTTGGAGAAAGAAGGTCTGCCAAGCTGAGAATTATGCGTCCTATGTCAAGTCTGTGGCTATTAAGAAAATGTTACTTGTTTTATATTTGTCACAAAATATTGGAAATATGGTATCTTCTGTAAATTCTTTTTCGCATTGCATTCAGTTACCCTGTATTTTTCTGAAAGCCCTGACAACACTATAAAGTGACTTATAGTCTGTCAAAGAAGACCTTAGAATATACTAAATGATCAATAGTGCGGGTTCTACCTGTATTTTGGTGTGATAACAAGTGAAACAGGAAGGGACTGGCTGTGCAATTTAGCTTGGCAGTGTAAGATTTGAATCATATTTAGTCCAATGTAGGCAAGTTCATGGCAAAGCTTTTCTGTATTTTAGGAAGTAAGTTGTATTATTCATTGTATTATTGATTGTTGTGGATTGTTAAATTAATTTTTGTATATAAATTAAAAATGCCTTTCCTTGTGTAAATTTGTGTTTATATAACTAATTGGATATTTATTCTGTTTTAGAGGTGTAACAAAAGCACGGACAACCCCTCCTAGTGTGGCAAGAACCATGAGCACGGGTGCTCTATCAAACAAAAGAAAAACAAGTAATTCAGACAGTTACTCAAGGTAGCTTTTTTTTGCTTTTTTTTTTTTTTTTTTTTTTTTTTTTTTTGCCAGCAGTAGAATCTTCATTTAAGGGGAGTACTCACTGGAGAATAAGTAGGGGAAAATGCTGTTCTCTGCAGTTAATGGATAATTCATGGTCAATTTTACCTGTCCTGTTTTAGATGCTGAGAATGTATTTTCCTTGTTTGCCATCTAGTAGAATATCACTCTCAGATAAGATGGGCACAGAAGACTTTTAGAAATGTCAAAAACCTCTTAGTCATTGACAAATTGGGTGAATGATCATTCAAATGGCCAGTGGTTCACTTGAAGTTAAATGAAATCTTTTAAAGAGCAGGGGGAAAATTATATTTCTCTTTTAGGCTATTTGCCTTTCCTGTTTTGACAAGCTAATTTTTATGTTTCCAGATTATCTGGTTAACCTAACTAATGACTCAAACACTTACTTGTGCTCCTAAAAATTGGGGAATCTGGGTAAACTTACAAGGTCGTGGTAAAGGGCAAATAAATGCAAAGTGTAAGCATGAAAATGACAATAACAATAGCAGTAATTCCCTAAAAGGGTTTAAATAGTTTTGCATCAAGTTGTACTGAACTCAGTTACAGTGGATGTTTTTTATCTTTTTTTTTTTTTTTCAGGCCTGATGGTAAAATAGGGTATGACAGTGGAGACTTCTCAGTCAATGGAGCAAGTTCAAAAAGCAGTGAAGGAAATTCACCCGTACAGTTATCTAAATTCTGCCATGAATGTGGAACAAGGTATCCAGTGGAATGGGCGAAGTTTTGCTGTGAGTGTGGAATTCGAAGAATGGTTGTGTGAACACATACTTAACAGCAAAGAGAAAAAGAGAAATTGGAAGCATCTGCAATGTACTGCTGCATGGAAAGCTAGAGCACTCCTTCCAGTTAGACTTCATGCTGCAAACGTGTTGAAACATCATATTGTAATTTTCTGAGTGCAATCTTCCGGTTACATAGTAATTTATATATAAATATATATACTGTATATAAAAATAGCAGGTACCTTAAACTGTGCCATTCATGGAAATATTCTTTAATCTCTGCTGGAAATATTTTAAAGTATAAAAACATGTTAAGTAACTTAGGTAGTGGAAGTGGTTCAGTGTTACTTTTCTTATATAATCCTACTAGATAAGGCATTATTTAAATCACTTATGTAGGTTAACTCACCCATAGGGAACTAACAATGAAAAACTTCTGTGTCAAAAGTTTCTTTGTGGAGGCATTTCCTTCATATGTAATACTAAGTACATGTTATCTATGTTCTAAATGAAAACAACATAAACAACTCCCTAAAAATTTCTGGTTAAAAGTGCAAAAAGACAGGTCCCTTCAAACTATTTAAACTATTACTTCACAGTAATATCCTAAGTGGACTTTACAGTTACTTCCAATGATTTTTTTTAACTATTCAAAGAGGAAAGTCTGAAAATTCCATTCACATATAAGAAAAACAAAATTTGTGCAGCTTTCCCCATTCTGTTTTTGAATTAGAACTTGTTAATATTTTTATGTATTTATAAGAAGAAATATGATATCCTCATTTTCATCAGTTCCTTTTGTTCTGAAATAGTTGTCTTTGTCTTCCTGTGTTCTTCACCGTGACTAGCATGTGTAAAAGCTCTTTGCTTATGTCTTTAAAGGTTTCCAAAAGTCCTACTCTTTTTTTCTTCCCTTGTAGTTACTGTACCTAAGTGTTGAACTTGTTTTAAAAACAACCTTCTTGACGTATCCAATACAAAAAGAGATCCATAAAATGTATGCTATTAGAAGAGTAGAAATTGATATAAGTAGCAACTGCTTTTATACTTATCCCTGTGCAAACAGCAGGTCCCATATTTCTGGAGTTAACACATGATACCTTTTTTCTCTTCAATTCTGTATATTCACGGGCTCTGAAATCAGCCTCTTAAAGTTAGTAGCAGACTTCACATCAGTTCATTGGTTAGAAGAGTCAGGCCCTGGAAGTTGTTTTTTTCATTCTTTTAAAATAAATGACACAATCTATTAAAGCCATTCACAAGCTGAATCACTTAACTTGTATCTGAATGTAGTAATTTGTTTTGTGAAGCTTTATTTTGAAATACTGACATCATCTTAGCTATGCGTGGAAGAACAATCTGAAAGACCTTAACTGTGCCTTTCCCACAATACACTCTTTTTGTCAGAAATGGTTACTTTGAGCTCACCGTTAGAATTGATTTTTATACTTTCTTTGTAGTTTTTGCAAAATCTGCTGCATTGTTGCATTATAACAACTTGAATGTTGTTTGCATTTTCAAAACTTGTGATTACTGTCAATGGGGCCTATTATGGAGAAAACATGATTTAAGACATGCATCTCCAAAACAGGTTCTAGTCCTGGAGGATAGGAGATTTAAGAGGCTTGATGTAGTCATCATGCAGGCCGTAAACTATTGATATTTCAGAACTATTTCCATGGAAATAATATAATTCATACAATATGAATTATATGAAATTGTCTTATACTTTTTATACAAAATTATTTCTAGAAATTATCTTTTCATTCAATGTAGTCTTGTATTATTGTAATTTACAGAAGTTGGCGGCTGAGCATGATAAAATGGATGGCTGTTAATGAGAGACCTGACAAATCCTAGCCAGTTTATATTTTGCATAATTTAGGTTCTAGGATCCTTTTTGGCACATTCATATTTGTACTTGGAAAAATTACAATCCTGCATCTTTAGCATAGATAAGTTTGCTTTAGAAAATTTGTCCTGGACTTGGGCCATGGAGGTCTGGAGGTCTGCAGACTGAATTACTGGAAGCTGTAAGCGTCCATCAGAAAAGATAGAAATCTAGCATAGGTTTGAATTCATCAAAGAATCATTACCTTTATCTGACTTGATGAATTTCCAGTTTGTTTCTGCTGGAAAAAAAAGCTTTTCACCCTTTACTGAAAATGCATTCTACAAGAGAAATTTTTTAAGGAAATATATATTACAGGTTTTTGAGAATTGATGGAATGGTTGAAAAATAATATTGACCATTTAGGTTTCCTAATTTTAAACCAATTCACATACAACAATTATAATTTCTGCCTTTTGAGCTTTGTGTAACTCTTTGCTTCCAACGTAGCATTTAGGAAATTACTTGAGTGACATATTTATATTTTTTTATGCTTCTATGATTTATGGCAAGAACTAGACAGGCGATTAACCTCAACTGAAGGAAAAACTTTAAAAAGATTTCCTGAACTTTTAATTTGGCTTTACAGAAAGATCTACTGAAGTGTAAATGACTGTTGATAGTAACACTTGGTAATGTGTATGCAATAGAATCTACAGTAAAGATAAGCAGAGAATGAAAATATAATTGACTATGCAGTTTTTTACTGTATAGTGAGACTACCAGAAAGCTGGCATATTTCTACTTTCAACTGGTTTTGTCACTGAATGTCAGGTGTTGTTAACAACAGTAGGGTGTATTACACACATTATCGGAATAGATCACAGTTATTCCATCTAAATATTTATTTGCCAGTAGATTTGTTTTAATAATGCCCTGCAGAACTGCATATGGAAAATAAACTGATTATAGCATTTAAGGAAAATATAAACAGGTAAGGGAGACAGTAAAGACTACGAATTTTGAATCTTTAGGTATATTACATTTGTGAAGAAATTCCTGAATTCAATTTATTAACAAGACCTAGGTCCAAAACATCGTGCCCTCCTCCTCCCACTGCCCTTATGCCTTGCTTTTTCATGAGAGGAAAAATCATGAATACAGATGCTGAAAGGGTAGTGTTCCAGAATGCCTCAAAAATCAAAATTTTGATAATTGTTAAGATAGAACACCTAGATGAACTATATAGCCCTGATGCACTTCACTGAGGAGTCTAAACTTAGCTAGTGTCATCTTCTGGATGCCTTGTTGAAAGATATTTAACTTAAAAGCCTAAATTCCTTAGATTTAATGTGTAAATCTATGATGATAGTATTGCTTCATTTACCATCTGTCTTTCCAGTTGTGTGTTTGTGTGTATGCACATGTATTTTGTGAGAACTCTTGTTATACAAACAAAAAGTGGTTTCACTAAAGCAGAGTTAATACAAAACTGTACTGAATGCTACTAGGGGATTGTGAAGCCCCAAACAGCTGACTGATGTACTTGCTGTATACTGAAAGTAAAATTTATTAACATGATTTTAATGTTACCTACTATCAGTGTCTGATCATGTCAGACTTTCTTTTACTGTTTGCCACTGTATCTTCCTAAATTGCTTGCTAAGAGTCTTTCAATCAACAAAGAAGAAAACAATAGGGAGGGGAAGGGAATAAGGAAGAAAAAAAAAAAAAAAAAAAAAAGAAAAAGAAAAATGTCAGTGGTAAAAAAGCAAGAAGGCTGTTGCTGTGGTCCTGGCTGACTGTGTTTGCATTCCTATTTTGCTTTTGCGAATACATGATTTACTAGGGCAGTCTACATAACAGAAAGGAGTGTAGGAGCACTGGGCCTGTAGTGATGCAAGTGCAATGGAAATATACTAGTGTCAAAGGTGAAAGCAGCGTAGTAGAAGGCCTAGGATTTATATAATGTACCTTTCAGAAGTTTATGTATAATACTGTTTCCAGGTCTAAAACAATCTAAGGTATTTCTAACTGCACAGCAACATAAATGTATGGTTATGCAGATAGTTAGACTCTTAGTCTCCCACACCACTACAGGAAAGTGGGCAGCAGGAGGAGGAGCAAACTTTAGCATCATTTCAGCTTATACCTATGAAGTGAACGTCTAGGCAGAATTTTTCAAATTTGCCAAAGAGACTTGAAGAGCCATTAGCCTCCCACAGGTGGATTTGAAAAGCTTGACCTGAGGGATTCCTTGGCCTGGGAGGCAGCCTGGAAGCCTGGGGAGCTCTCCATGGTGCTCTTAACACTGACCCTCAGGTAGCAAGGTACACAGGCTAGGAACTCCAAAATGTATTTTAAGACCTGAGCTAATCTTCACCCATCATTGAAGTTTTGTCATCTGGGTGAGACTAGCTCTTACTTCACCATTGCAACTAAGAGTTAGTGTCTGAACTGCAGCATGTGAAAAGAACAGTTCCATGATGCACGCTTATCAAAGTCAGCAAGAGGAGGTATGATTGCAGTACTTTAAACACTAAGGATCAAGGATATAGCAGTGCACCTTGATGTAGGCTATGTAAGTAGTTTGAGTATAAAATGAAATGGCATTGTCAACATATTATAAAGTTCTCAAGAACTGCTGGTTTCCATCACATGACTTTTGCATCTGTGCAATGAACAAATCTTTTTTATATCTTGACAGAAATTTGTGTTTTGTGAAAGTACTTGTTACAACTTTATTTTTTTTTTCAGTATGACTAAGCTATAGGTAATCATATGGATTGTATGAGACAGTGGAATTTCCATCTTTGAAACTGTTTTTGGTGACTTTGGTGAAAATATTTATATTGCCTTGGAATAAGTACAGCTCATTCCAACTTGTGATTTTTTTTTTCTAAGTTGCTGAGTAAGGTTTGAGTTACCTAGTTGTGTTGTTGGAAGAAATGGTAAGTAAAAGATTCTTAGCTATATTCAGCAGTTATTTGGTCCTTGCTTTCCTTCCACTATTCACAAGATAAGGGATTAATCTTGCATATTAATGTGAATTTTTATTTTCTTTTTGTATATGTATTGTTCAGGATACCCATTTTCTGGAGGTTCCTATTTAGCCCCATTTCATGTTTCCAGAAAACAACCTATTCATATATTCTTTTAAATAGCTAGTACTTTTTCACAAAAGTAATCAATAGGGAAATCAGTTTTATCCAATACGAACAGTAGCTTTTGCGACAGTAAATCAAATATTCAGGTTGATATTGTTGAATAGTGAACTTAAGGTCTAAATGCAAGTGCATGGTTTTTCATTGTTCTATATTTGTATTTGGATTTCTGGCAGAAGTGCAGATGGATTTGGGTCTGATCTTGTAAAGTGTTAAGTATTCCATGTCTGTTACAATACTTACTTTATATAATTGCTGTAACTCTCTAGGTGTTCATCCTTCATATGATACTTAGTATATATCTTTATAAGTTTATTTATTGATATTCTATGTTTTTAAATGAAGTGTTCATTCATGTATTTGAGGTGATTAATTTTGTCAGCATTGCATTTATTATGTTTGCCTTGTCCTTCAGTACACTGAATATTTGTGTTTGTGACCATCCAGTGTTTCTTTTCTTTTTTCTTTTTTTTTTTTTTTTTTTCCAGAACACCTGGGTTTCCACCTTATTTGATATATTATTTTAAACCACCAGTTCTGTTTTAATAAATGTAAATCACTACCTGATGCTAATTTGCCACTTGTTAACAATAAAGGAAATATGCCAATAAAACTTCTGGAAATCCGTGCATTTTTTGTAGCCAAATGTGAAATTGTCTTTAAAAAATAAAATAGGGATAGGTAAAATCATTTTAACCTTATAAATATTGTCATGTCTTTGGTCTCAGGGAAACCATACCTAATGGGGGAACCCATCAAAAGTCTACTCCTAGTGGTTTGTAGAGAACCACCTAGTTATCCATATCAAAGGTTAGGGTTTGTTTTTTGTTTTTTCATTGACTTGCAAGGTGAGATCTGTATTGCTTGGTCACCTTGAAAAATAACCTGTATCAGATATTTAAGTTAGTAAGAGCTGCTCATGTAAATTTAATTCTGTTATCCCTTTCCCAACTATATGGAATGCTTAATTAATATAGAGCTTATCACTGTGATAACCTGTGGTAAGTCAATGTTTTGTTTATTTATTATTATTATTTTTTTTAATTAGGCTGAAAGGTATAACCTGTAACTAAACCTGATCTAGGTTAGTTCTGCTTTGTGAGGACCAAAGATTTTGCCCAAAGATGAGCCAGCGGGGAAGACCAGCCTGGCTCAACAGAGAACTGTGGCTTGAGCTTAGGAGAAAAAAGAGGGTTTATAATCTTTGGAAAAGTGGGCAGGCCACTAGGGAGGACTATAAGGATGTAGTGAGGCTGTGCAGGGACAAAATTAGGAAGGCCAAAGCTCATCTGGAGCTCAATCTGGCTACTGCTGTTAAAGATAACAAAAAACGCTTTTATAAATACATCAACACAAAAAGGAGGACAAAGGAGAATCTCCATCCTTTACTGGAAGCGGGGGGAAACTTAGTTACAAGAGATGAGGAAAAGGCGGAGGTGCTCAATGCCTTCTTTGCCTCAGTCTTTAGCGGCAATACCGGTTGTTCTCTGGATACCCAGAACCCTGAGCTGGTGGAAGGAGATGGGGAGCAGGATGTGGCCCTCACCATCCACGAAGAACTGGTTGGTGACCTGCTATGGCACTTGGATGTGCACAAATCGATGGGGCCGGATGGGATCCACCCAAGGGTACTGAGAGAACTGGCAGAGCAGCTGGCCAAGCCCCTATCCATCATTTATCAGCAGTCCTGGCTATCGGGGGAGGTCCCAGCTGACTGGCGGCTAGCGAATGTGACGCCCATCTACAAGAAGGGCCGGAGGGCTGACCCGGGGAACTACAGGCCGGTCAGTTTGACCTCAGTACCAGGGAAGCTCATGGAGCAGATCCTCTTGGGAGTCATCATGCGGCACTTGAAGGGCAAGCAGGCGATCAGGCCCAGTCAGCATGGGTTTATGGAAGGCAGGTCCTGCTTGACGAACCTGATCTCCTTCTACGACAAAGTGACGCGCTGGGTGGACGAGGGAAAGGCTGTGGATGTGGTCTACCTTGACTTCAGCAAGGCTTTTGACACCGTCTCCCACAGCATTCTCCTCAAGAAACTGGCTGCTCTTGGCTTGGACTGGCGCATGCTTTGTTGGGTTAGAAACTGGCTGGATAGCCGGGCCCAAAGAGTTGTGGTAAATGGAGTCAAGTCCAGTTGGAGGCCAGTCACTAGTGGCATCCCCCAGGGCTCGGTGCTGGGGCCGGTCCTCTTTAATATCTTCATCAATGATCTGGACAAGGGCATTGAGTGCACCCTCAGTAAGTTTGCAGATGACACCAAGTTAGGTGCGTGTGTCGATCTGCTTGAGGGTAGGAAGGTTCTGCAGGAGGATCTGGATAGGCTGCACCGATGGGCTGAGGTCAACTGCATGAGGTTCAACAAGGCCAAGTGCCAGGGTCCTGCACCTGGGGCGCAACAACCCCAAGCAGAGCTACAGGCTGGGAGATGAGTGGTTGGAGAGCTGCCAGGCAGAGAAGGACCTGGGAGTGATGGTGGACAGTCGGCTGAATATGAGCCAGCAGTGTGCTCAGGTGGCCAAGAAGGCCAACGGCATCCTGGCTTGTATCAGAAACAGTGTGACCAGCAGGGCTAGGGAGGTGATCGTCCCCCTGTACTCGGCTCTGGTGAGGCCGCACCTCGAGTACTGTGTTCAGTTTTGGGCCCCTCGCTACAAGAAGGACATCGAGGTGCTTGAGCGGGTCCAAAGAAGGGCGACGAAGCTGGTGAGGGGCCTGGAGAACAAGTCCTACGAGGAGCGGCTGAAGGAGCTGGGCTTGTTCAGCCTGGAGAAGAGGAGGCTCAGGGGCGACCTTATCGCTCTCTACAGATACCTTAAAGGAGGCTGTAGCGAGGTGGGGGTTGGCCTGTTCTCCCACGTGCCTGGTGACAGGACGAGGGGGAATGGGCTAAAGTTGCGCCAGGGGAGTTTTAGGTTAGATGTTAGGAAGAACTTCTTTACTGAAGGGGTTGTTAGGCACTGGAACAGGCTGCCCAGGGAGGTGGTGGAGTCACCATCCCTGGAAGTCTTTAAAAGACGTTTAGATGTAGAGCTTAGGGATATGGTTTAGTGGGGACTGTTAGTGTTAGGTCAGAGGTTGGACTTGATGATCTTGAGGTCTCTTCCAACCTAGAAATTCTGTGATTCTGTGATTCTGTGACCAATCACTGCTTTGTTCATGAAATGATTAAGAAGGGAAAAAAAAAGAAGTTATATTTTTCCTGTAAAGTTCACTTATGTGACCAGAAATTGTAATAAGGACTTGGGTTCCTCATTTTTTGGCTAAATAGGGCTGAGTAGAGACCAGTTCCTCTTTTCTATCATCTTTTTGGGGGTAAGTTCCTCCTGATGTCTCTTTTGTTTACTTTACCACACCCTCTTCAGAGGAAAACAGATGTATTTTCCATTCATTTTGGATAAAACTCATGTGCCAAAAGGCTACAAAATCTTGTCACTGCTGAGATTCCATGATATCCAGCCACCAAGTTTGCTTCCAAGTTTTAGTTTATCATGAACTATCCCAGTCAGATAGCAGGAGGAGAAAAAAAGAAAAAAAAAAAAAAAAAGGAAAAAAAAAAAAGGAAGAACCAAGCAGATGCTTCATGAATCCTATCATAAAGCCACCATCTCTGTTGCTCAGCACAAAGCTACAAAGCTGAAGAGGTGAAACTGGAAGGAAAATTAAAATCAGCCAGCAGTGACCTGTAGCTGAGGAACTTCAGCAGTTTAATAGTGTAAAGTAAGATGTCAAACCAGTGACCTGCCTTGATCTATTTCCTAAACACCAGAAATTCTTCTCAGCAGAGCACCTAACTTGCTGTTAGAAATTATTCAAATGTGCAACATATATTGAATAATTAACCCCACATGGGTTAATCTGCTCAATTCACAGTCCCTCGTAACGTCAGTGCTAAAATTATTTTCACCAATTTTAATACCTGTTTTCCCTTGCTTCCTTCGCTACCTTCCCATAAATTCCATCAATTTCTAAATTGTATGTGTGACCTACTCATATTCCTTTTTTACAATGTCATAATTTTAAAACAAACTAACAAAAAGATGGTAAAAAATGAAAGGGAGGTAGGAGTGGTGGTGATACCTTGCAAGGTCCCTTAGCCCATTTCCTGCAAAGCAGTTTGGTTTTGCCACATTCCTAATTTCAGTGGAAGCTGGGGAAGGTTCTCAATTAGAAGGAACAAATCAAAGAGCACAAATCACTGGGTTTAGCAGTTAGTCTTTACATAAAAGTGATGACTCAAGAAACTTGGCAGGAAGAATCAGGCAGGCAAGATATTTATTAAGAGAAGCAATTGGGAAAACCACAGTTTCATAACCACTCAATTCAAATTTCTGTTCTGGATCTCTCTCTGTGCAGTCTTTCCTCAAAATAGGCCAGAAACTGATTGGCCTCAAGATTTGAGTTGTGAGCTGCTGCCTAAGTCATTTAACCCAACTGAACTTTGTGATTTCAATTTTGTAGTAACTAATATTGCACCTGTGTATTTTTCTTTTAACTCACACTGCTCTTTCCTTGCCAAGTGATAGCAGTTATTAGGAAATAAATCTTGGCTCTCAATTGTTCCTGAGTTTCCAAAACATAGTTGGTATTCTTCAATCAGTCTTAGAGAAAAATTTCGTCCTCAGCCAACTGGGACTTCTTTCAGTAGAAGTGATTTCCTCAGAAGTCCCTACAATAGTTGTGTTCTCTGACCTGCAGTACAACATTGGGAAATCTGTTTCCTTTTCCTATTACATAAAAGGGTTGTGGGTTGGGCTGATTTTTTTTAATGGCTTTTTTTTTTTTTTTTTTTAGTTTGAAGTTAAAGTTGCAATCCCTTACATCAAGAGCTAAAGAGAGCCTGAAAATCTCAGTCACATATTTACAAAGATCCAATTCAAAGATACTACAAATTCAGTAAGTTTCCTTGCTGTGATTAGATACAGATCCCTCACCATAGCAATAGGGCACACTGGGTTTAATGGATTCAGTCAGCAGATTTTACTCCAGTCAGAGGAGGTACATACAGTTGTTTGAAGCACATCCCACCATTTTTTCAATCTTGTGTTTTGAATATCAAAGATTTCTCTGAGTAGTTCCACAGAAAAATTTCACTCTGAATCAGGAAAGAACAGGCTTAGTTGAAGATTTCACAAAATATTTAGTCCAAGGTGGACAGCTGGTCTGGAACTGTGTACCTAAATTATACGGTTATAAGCAATTAAGAAACAGATACTTTAAAATAGGAAAACTCATGCAGCAGGATCTTACAAAAGCCACTGTGATTATAATGACCAGCTGTGGAAAAAAAAAAAAGAAGCTAAGAAAGGAGTACTAACACTCAAAAAGCCAACAGCCCAATTCCATAGAAGACAAATATTTTATTATCAAAGGAGTTATATCAAAGTAAGAAACTGCAAAAGAGTTATAAACATCTATAAAAATACCTCTATTTATCCAAAATTAAATATGAACACTTTATTAGTTAAATGCCAATATATTATTCTCTGAAAGTATTCACACATTTTGAGTCACGTTTTTCTAACACGTTAAACATGTTATATAAAACGATTGCATATAAGAAATCACAATCTGAAGGTAAGAAATTCTAGGTCCTCTGTCAGCTAACTCCAATAACCAAATGCATAACGCTATTGCTGTTTCCAGTCAGCAGAGCAAACTTACATTCAGGCACCCCAATTCTCGCCTTCCATATGCCTTACTGTCTTGCCTCTGCTTCAGCCAGCAGAAGTGTGCTACATCTCTCAAAAATCACTACCCTTCCAAGGCTTTTAAAATAGCATACCTTTTCCCCATTTTTCAGACCTAAATCAATTTGCAAGCCCATTAGATGCTCACACTGAAAACATTATTGCATCAGCAGAACAAACTCAAGAGCTGCTGCTTGTTTGGTAAATTGTTCATTTTGGTCCTTGATGTGTTTTCTATAGATAGAAAAAAAAATCAGCTGCTTTTCCATACTGTTTTTGTTTTGGGGTTTGTTTGTTTGTTTTTTGGCCTGCAGCTTCTAAGATTTTTTTATAAATTGCAGTAGACGTCTAACTGGATTGCTTTCATAGGAAGGTATTATAAAGTCACTCAGAAGATCAGAAAATTCGAAGTACTTTCCAGAGTGTGAAGGTGGGACACAACCTTCTCTGGAGTTTTTTGTTTCAAACACTGTTCTCTATTTCCCCTTCTTGGAGTTCAGCAGCTTGGTTTAGCTGTTTCTGTTTATTCCTTCTCCAGGATCAAAGTACAGTAGCTTTCCATCTGAATTCCGGTATTCATGTAAGTGAACAGAGTTACTCAAAGGATGCATATGAAATGCAAAGATACAAAGTAATGCCACTTTGATAGAAAAGAGCAGGATTCATCTGGAATCACCTGGAAATTATTTTTTCAAATTTATTCCAGCAGGATCGAAGGCTAGATATATTCTCTTTCAGTTCACAAAATTCGTGGTTACATTTCTTTTTTGACTGTTCACCTGTTTCTCTATCTTCATTATTATGTGTATTTATCTGCATGCAAACCTGAAAAACAATAGTTTATATTGAGTTAATTGAGAAGTGTTAATTCTTTTTATACAGACGTATTTTAAAGCAAACTAATTTCATTGCACCTCAATAAATAATGCAGGTATCTTACATGGTAACTTAGCCAGAATGCTGGGCTCCTCACAAAATGTGCTGTGGCGCGGCCCAGCCTGCATCAGTTCTCACTGTGAACACAGCCCTACTGCCACCGCTTCCCGCTGATCTGGGCAGGATCAAAAGTCAGGATCTCACCAGACTGGGATTCTTGTGCACATTCTATGACTGTGACTTCACAGAATCACACAGAAGGGTTAAGGTTGGAAGGGACCACTAGAGATCACCTGCTCCAACCTCCTGCCCAAGCAAGGACACCCAGAGCAGACTCTCCAGGCAGCTCTTGAGGATCTCCAAGGAAGGAGACTCCTCAAACTCTCTGGGCAGCCTGTGCCAAGGCTCTGTCACCCACACAGTATGGAAGTGCTTCCTGAGCCTTCTGTGTTCCAGTTTGTGCCCAGCGCCTCTTGTCCTTGCTCTGGGCACCACTGAACAGAGCCTGGCTCCATCTTCATTGCATCCTCCCTTCAGGTATTTACCCTTCTTCAGGTATTTACCCTTCAGGTTATATTGATAAGATCCTCCCTGAGCTTCCTCTTATCCAGGTTGAAATAGTAGATATTATGGACTTTTATAAGATGTTATAGACTTTTACAGACTGTCACAGAGTTTTACCAAATAACTTTAATGTAATTGGTCCTTAAATAAAAACAGGCATCCACGGAGTTAGGTGACACTCTTTGACTTCTGTTACTGAACTAGGAGTCTTTTTACGGTTAGGCAAATGTTAGATTCACCAGAGTTGTCTAAGCAAAATACAGACAACAATGATTACTTTGAAGATCTGGTTTTTAGGTTATACGTTTCTCCGTATTATGGAGGAAAAAAAAAAAAAAAGAAAAAAAGAAAAAAAGAAAAAAAGAAAAAAAAGAGTTAAATGTAGCCTTCAATCCACCTATGTAAACCAACCACAAAGATTTTTTGGTGGCTGGCTTTGGTGCCTGCAAGGAGGCTTTTTGATGTTGGCCAATTAGGTAAAACTGCAGGCCACACTTAAATGAACACTTTTCCTTCTCTATGGTAGAGCACTGCACTAAATTTGACTGACATATTAAAGAGCTGATGCTGCCAATAACTAAAAATCTAAATACTTTCATATCTAACTACTCTTGTTGAGTTTGAGATACAGTGGATAAAAATAAGATCAATAATCAAAGGGATTATGGAAAGGAGAGAAACTCCCACTGATTATTTGTTGAAATAAGCCACCTTAAACATTAAATTCAGGGTAGAAATCCAATGTGAAGTAGCAAGCGTGATTTTATGTATATAGAAGTTAAAGGCAATTATTTGTATAAGTGCGATCTTTGTCTTTTACTGGAGAATTAATTGAAGTCTTTCACTACTAAACCAGACTACGTATCTTGACTACAGACATCCAGATCATTGACTTAAATAGTCTTTGCACCAGGTTTAATGTCTGTTACAAGACATGCTATACAGAGCAAAATTTGTCATGCATGTAACATGTGCATGATAGATGCACCTTTGAGAGGTAGATGTGATAATCTGTGCTGAAGAGCTCTGAGGAGTAAGGCACATACTTCCATCACTACCACTCACCTTTTCTTTTTTATGTCTTTCACATTTGCACTGTAGAACTTGTAATGTCCCACATGAGACTAATGCTGCTTTCCATCTAAATTCTTTGATGATTTTTTGCTTATTAAAGAATTTGAGCATGTTGCATGCCATACTCTGTAGTGATTCTATTTCCTGTGAAGAGAGCAACAAAAAAAACTTGCTGAAATGTCTGTGCACTGTTAATTCCATGTAGTGTTTGTTTGTCTTAAAACAAAAGCTCCATCAGTAACCATTAGTTTCTTTATCTGGCATAACAGCAGTCTGTTCCAATAAATCATGACTAATCTGACCCAACTGCCATCTCTTCAAAATATTTAAAACATCAATTTGTAATTAGCAATAATAATACTAGCAATAATAATATTAGGGATAAATCATAGCCTTAATGAAAGCAGCTAACGCAATCAGGAAAATGCTGACCAATTTTTGAACTCAGTCCTTTTACCAAGTCATGATAAAATCCACAGCTACAATGGACAATTGCTTTCAGTTATTTAAGATCTGCCCAGACTATTTTTTAAGCTCTCAGACCGTAAGTGGAAACCTTAGCTAACATGATTTCTGTAGAAAAACAAAAACAGATGTTGGAAAAATTTTGTTTTCTTCCACTGTCAAAATACAATCAGCATTCTGTACTAATTTGTATTACAAATTTAAAGCAATTGTTGCAGTAGAAAAAAAAAAAAAAAAGATTTCTGATGTGGTATTGTTTAATGATTCGAATGAAAAAATATCTGTTTACTGGACAGATTCTATGATTCCAAATTCCTAAAAGGAATAATTCCTGAACACCATGCTTTGACAATTAAAAAATGTTACATTATTCACTATCACAATGTGTTATTCAGGGAGTGGATTGTACGAAGAATCCTTTGGGGTTCGTATTCTCTAAAGTAATTTTTGAGAAGCTAAACTTTACCTGAGTATCATTGCAGAAGAACACCTTGCTATGTTCATGTTTTTTATTCTTGCAGCACCTGTCACGATACTCTGCAGACATATTTACCTGTAAAATATAATATATGTTTAATCACGGAAGTATTTTTAATCAAATTAGCCAAGTTTCTCACTTATAGTTGGTGACCTTAACATTAAATTGCTCTGTAAGATCTCCTCTGTTGTAGCAGGGTCAGTGTACAGTTCTGAGCTTTCCCTTGTCAAGCAAGCAAAGAAAACCCCAATTACAGCTACAATTTGCAAAGGTACTCACAGAATCACATAGAATCACATAGAATCACAGCAAGGAAGGGACCTCTGGAGGTCAGGTGGTCCAAGTTCCTGCTCAGGCAGGGACACTGAGGGCAGGTTGCCCAGGACCACATGGAGGCAGCTTTTGAAGATCTCCAAGGAGGTAGAACAGCCTCCCTGACAGTGCTCTGTCACCAGCAAAGTAAAGAAGTGCTATATTCATTGCACATTACATGCCTACATTCAGTGGAAGCTCCTGTGTTTGCGCTCATTGCCTCTTCTCCTGCCACTGAGCACCACTGAAAAGAGCCTGGCTCTGTCTTCTTTGCACCCTGCCTTCAGGTATTTATTGATGAGATCCCTCCTGATGAGATCCTTCCTGAGCCTCTTCTTCCCCAGACAGATCACTCCCAGCTCCTTCAGCATCTCCTCACAGGAGAGATGCTCCAGTCCCTTGCTCATCACCCTTCACAGGACTCTCTCCAGTAGCTATCTCTTTTGTAATGCAGAGCCCAGAACTGGATGAAAGTCTATTCATTTTAAACCTTCATATTCCCTTGAATCACTTGGTCTTTTAGCATTTAAAAAACTACAGGAATATTTAAATCTTCCACAGACATCAAACACAACATCTGTCAACGTTTGCCTTAATAAAAAGCCCTAGGCATATTCTACCATTAATTTAACGTGGATTAACAGAATATGTATTTTGAGATAATCCAAAAAACCGTACACTTGCTCCCTTTGTGTGGCCATAATATTTTACCAGTAGTTTATTCTCTCTGCTTTTTGTTCTGCTTTCATGGTTGTCATCCAGATGACAATTGAATCTAACTCAACAAAACCCTTCTGTTTCTTCTTCAGCCTGTACACAAATAACTTAATGCAACCAAAAAAAGCTTTAAAAGAGAAGACAGCTCCTGTCAATACTATACTTGCTCTCCTCATTTAGGTGTGCATATGAACGAACACATTAGCCAACCTCATATGCAGGGCTTTTCTGCAGATTTTTGCATGAAGCCTGTATTTCAGAAGCTCATCCAAGATGAACAGCACTTTCTACAGGAAGGGTTTTCAAACCCAGGAGTTTAGGGAGCCAAATATTCACTGACACAAAAAAGCGTTATGAATATAATGCTCATCTCTACTTGTACCACAACAGACTGAAATTTTGCTGCAGTCATAGAGCACCAAGATTAAAATAAAATAAAATAAAATAAAATAAAATAAAATAAAATAAAATAAAATAAAATAAAATAAAATAAAATAAAATAAAATAAAATAAAATAAAATAAAATAAAATAAAATAAAAAATCATCATGAAATTCAGTTTTATCTGTGGCTTCATTCTCTAACCACTGACTCCATCTGTAGCATACTGTAGTAACCATTTCTGAAGGCAGTTTATTTGCTGTGGCTGAAGCAACTCAAGAGAAATCCTGGCCTCAAAAAGACATTCATGAAAATCAAATTAATTTCTGAAGATCTAGTATAGAACCCACCAGTCATGTCCATGACTGTGTCCAAACATCACATTGAGGGACTGAAAGTTACTGAGTTTGCCTATACAACTCCAGGAAACTTCCTAGTAAAGAGTTGCTATGACCCAAGGGCAACATCCCTAATATTTTGAAGGTTTATTATTGTTATTGTTATTGTTATTATTATTATTATTATTATTATTATTATTATTATTATTATTATTATTATTAAAACAGAAAACATCCTCCTGGCTTCCCTGGTCCTGCAGCTCCAGCAGAGATGGGATGTGCCTGTCCTGGTTTCAGTTATTAACTGAATTAACTCTGTCCTAACTGAAACCAGGACAGCGCCTCATGGTTCTCCACTGCAGGAAGACAGCAGGATCTGCTTCCCAGAGGCTCTTCTTCCTGTCATGTTGGTACCTCTTATAGATCACCTATTTGATAACTGCTCACCAAGAGCTTTTTATTTGTTATCCAGGAAACACTTGTCTTTGTCACAAAAAAAATGATGACAGACTAAAGATGCTATCTGTACTAACATGGCCATGATTTTTTGCCCGTCTTTGGTGCCTTGTTGAGGACAATGTGATTTCTCTACAGAGAAGACAGAAAAGCAGGACCTTTCTCTTTGTGCAGTCTCAAGATTATCACACACATGATCAAAACGTTTTTGAAGATGAAATGATCTTTCCCTGAACCTAAAGGTATTTCGCTTTCAGGGAAGAGTTGATGCGTCTTAGTAAAGAAAGGTTGGAAGCCACCAGCATAATGCTCTGAATGATGGTAGTGGATGCTAAGTGTGAAGAAATATAATAGCTCTCGATTTCACCTTTGGAAAAACACCATCTATCACTCACACTTCATGCAAACAGATCTTGATTTATGACTGCAACAGAATGGTGAGTTCTACTTTAGTAACAAACTGTCAGAAAAATCCCCTTTTCATAGAAATGCCTCTGCTAATCCAAGAGTGGAAAGTGCTTTCTCCCATGAAAGCGTTCTTGGCAGATTAATTTGTTAATAATTCTTGATGAAGGTAAGTTTGGGGCATGAATCTGTAAACTCTAGCGGTGCGCATTTGTATAGCTGTAATAATTGTGGCTGATAAAGCCATGATGGAGGAGAGGTTGCTACTTGCACTGAGAAAGTTAACTTTTTCTCTGCTGCTATCTTGAAAACTTGATTCTTTGTTGGTTATATAAAATGTATCGATAGGTAAAATAGAAATAAACTTCTATTGTAATACGGGTGAGTTTTACATCACTTGCATTAACTACAATTGTATTAATTTACTACTTAACCTTTAGAAAGGTACCTTGGTAATTCTGAACGATTATGATGATAATGATATGAATATCTAGGACTATTAAAATTATAATAACATCTGTTAATGAAGCAAAAGTCTTAAACAGTTGAAAAATGAAAGATTTCAGTCACTCTCCATAAAAAATGTTTCAATACACATAAATATCCAAACAAGCCTACTTATCTAAAATTTTAATAGCAGGGTTTTACCTTTAAAATGGTCAGTGAATGGGCTCACTGGCTGGAATATAACATAGAAATTGTTTTGAAAATTGGTGACTTGAATTTTGTGCCTCTGTTCATTTGTATTCAATGGACAACATAAAACTTTAGTCAAGAAGCCTACAATTAGTAGAGCAAATTGCAGCTTACAGAATGCTTTTTTCTCTTGACAAGAAAATAAAAGACATGTAGTAATAAAACTACCTTAGAAAAGTGTTGTTCTTGTTGTTGTTTTCAGTATATTATACTGTTTAGGTCCAAATGGTACTTGTGTCTAACTACTTGGTGTACAAATACAAACACATGTATCACAGTATTTGTGCAAGCAAATAGGCAGCATGTCCTCAAATAAAGCCACAAACCCAGTACAACATGCAATTTTACATTTGTCTTTTATCAAATGTTAACATTAGAGCTTTTTTGTTTGGTTATTTGTTGTTTGTTTGTTTGTTTTATTATTTGCTATCATCTAAAAATAATTAATGTTTCAGGTAAGCCAAAAAGCTATTACCTACCAGCTCATCGATGTCGTGGCTTAGTATATTCTCATACTTCACACGGATCTCCGCTGTTTTATTTCCCATTGTACAACTAGATGAATTCACTGGTGACAGAACAAGGAGTAGTGGCAGAACCCGAAAGATAGATCTAAAAAAGGCTGGATTACAACAAGAGCAGTTAAGTACACATTGCATGCCATAGAGTATATCCTGTATTAACAAATATATTCTGTAATCTGTTAAAACAGTTTAAAGGGAATCTCTGTACAACCAAATGACTTGTACCTCAAAGGAAAGATTCAGCTCCAGAGTAAAACTCTAGCTGAGTCTAAAACTTCCTCACACTGAAGGGTGATTTAGCCAGTGTGGTTGAGAGCCTTCAGCTATCAAGCTGACCAGCCACTTCATGTCAACTTGAGTTCCTCTCCAGTCTTTGTAGAAAGCATTGATGAGGTCTCTCTATTGACCATAATGGGGCCATAACCACCTATCAGTACATATGTAGACAAACAGGTGCCCTAGTGAAACAGATGTAGACATTCAAGTGTCTGCAGCTGAATTCCACCTAAATTAGTGAATTTTCCTGTAACGAATCCTACAAATTCTCACAGACATTGACACAGACAATGATGACACAGACAGGCTGATTGGATGTAGAAACCCATATTAGTTATTACACGAGACAAAGTAGCAATACAACTTTTTCTGCAAGGTTTTGCAATCTTTTGGAGCAAGCCTCATTGTTCCTGTTTCTCCCCTCAGTGGACCATCCTTCTTCACTCAGACCACTGGTCTTCTCTCCTTGCATGACATTCAGGAAAACAGAAGCTTTGAAAGGATGGGCAAAGAGAGAAAGGACCAAAATACCTGGTCAGCCTGAAGGGAGTGATGGTAACTAGAGGCTGCTTGTGACTAGCCTAATGTTGGGAGTGAGGAAGCTAATAGGAAGCTAGTATCTGGGCACTGGCCTACAGCTGGACTGAGCAGGATGCTGGAAGCTTGTAGGCAGAAAAATAAAATGTGTTGGAGGATGATCAAAGACCTTCAGCAAAGCAAATTCCTGCAGCATTATGAGCTGTTTCTACCCATCTATGCTACTCAGTAAGAGCAACAAACCTACACAGGGTAACTGGAGACACCAGAGCTGCCAGGAAAGGCAGAAGGGATGCCCTGACCCTACACCCTCCTGCCTTCCTCTTTGGTGAGGATGGGAGCACTGGGCACAGCCAGACACTCAGAGTTGGGCATCTCTGGACTTGGGCATCACTTGTGAATCCCAAACTCAGAAAGAAACTTTGAATAACTGCAGAACACTAGAGATGAAAGTAAAATATGTATCCCTGAATATGCTTTTAAAATACTTATTCTTGTTGCACAGCTTCAAAGAAGAAAGCAGTGAAACTTGACCGTAATCTCTACTGAGCCACATAACCTCCAACATGCAAGAACCAGGGTCACGCCATGACTGTCTGCTGTTCATAGAAAGTCCCTCACAGCCCAGCCCAGCCCTACTGCATGCTGCTGCTTCAGAGCAGAACGTGTATCACTTTTCTGCCTGCCAAAGCCTTTTTTTCTGACAGAGTACTTTGTGAACATGCTATGATGTACACCTCTGTCCTAGAAACAGGACTGGAAGATTTTCACCTATACAATTCCTTTTTTTTTTTTCTTGTGGCAAGCTGCCTGCCAATTTTGGATGGGAAATTCATTTGGCTGAAGACCAAATGATCTAACCTTTTCAGACACTAATCATCAGAGCTGTCTATAAGGATCTCAAGAAATCTAGCCTGAAGAGATTTGATCCTACAGGCAGTAAATACAAAAAAATAGTGCCTAAGCAAGGCAGATAGGACCTCCAGATGGAGATCTGACTTCCACAGAGCTTCACCTTTGTAAATCTCTATGCTAACTACCTCTACTCCAAGAGAATTATCAGTTTATAGGACAGGGATTTGTATGACTGTGATATCAAAAAGATGTTGCAGAAGCATGCTAAAAGTCAATTACAGGACAGCATTTTTTCCAGCATACCACTGCACCTCTTGATTCCAGTACAAATAAAAAAAAAAAAATAATAATAAAAAAGGAACTGTAATACACACTTACAAAAAAGTGATACAAACAACTCAGCTATGTTGCTTCAGAAGGACACTTCGGAGACACAAATAACAACCTTCTAAATTAAAGTCACTGTAACATATTCCATCACTTTTAAAACTTTTTTTCTTTTTTTCTGGTAAGAATGGAGTGACAGATGAAAACTGCAAAATCACTTCTCTTCCTCTCGTTTTACTTTCTCTGTATTGGTCAGGCGGCAAATCTTTTAAATGAGGAAATGCCAGAATCAGAGCAGTTAATTCTGAAAGGGATGCTGCACACTCACCAAGCCCCTTGACCCACAGCAGGATCCCAATGCAACCAGTTTAGACGTTCCTAAATGCTCTGTTAGATGAGCATCTTAACGAGTCCCAGCAGCTTTGGGCTGATCTAGTACAGTCCCAAGAAGCAGAGCTGATAGTGGCCATATGGCTAGCTCTTCTGAAGAAAGGAATCTTACACTGCTGGTAAACCCCACTCTTTCAGCAAACTCCTGAAAAGCTCCTAAGTTTTATGTGGAAACCCCCAGAAAATTCTCCAAGGAAAGCCGGGAAGACTCAGCATTCCAGTATTTCCAAATGGAGAAAAGCCCCTCTTTATGGTCCTAAAAATCCCCTTTTCCTCTGCTTTGTGCAAGTGACCCTCCCGCTCCCCAGGGCTGCGGGATCCCCCCGCAAACCTCCCGCGTTATAGGGTGACAGCCGTGCCCCTGCTCGCCCGCCCGACACCCGCAGCGACCCTCGACGGCAGCGGCCCGGCGGGGGCTTTCTGCCCGCCCGCCCCCGGCCCTCGCAAGGGGCGCGGGGCTCGGCTGCAGCCTCCGGCGCTGCGCGGCACCTGCTCGGGGCGCGCCCCCGCGGGGCTGACCGCGGGTACCCGCGGAGCTCCGCGCGACTCCCCCAGCACCACCACCCCCTTTTTTCACCCCCCTCCACCCCCCTCACTCTTCTCCGGCCGCTTTCCCGGCAGCGGCCGGGCTGGGGACGGGGCTCTTTTACTTTCATTCTAAGGACAAAATCGGACAGGAAAAAAAAAAAAAAAAAAAGAAAAGCAAAACTGGGAATTTCCCCGGGGCCGTCACCGCGGGGATAAAAGGGCACCGGGCGGCACCGCGCAGCCACAGAGGAGGCGAGGAGACGGCAGAGCCGGCGGAGCGGTGAGCGGTGCGCGGGTGCGGAGCGGGGGGGGCGCGGCGCTGCGCTGCGCTCCTTACCATGGGACATGGTCCGCCGGGGGGGTGGCAGGGAGCAGCGGCGGCGGCTCGGCGGTCATGGTGGCGGCGCCGTCTTGCCCATGGTGCCAGGGGGCGAGCCAGGGGGCGAGCGGAGCCGCGAGTTGGGGGGGGAGCGGGAGAAGCGGGGAGCTCAGCACCCCGGGCGGCTGCCGTCGGGGGGCGCGGCGCTGTCAGACCCGGCTGCGGCTCGGCCGGGCTTTGCTTTTCCCATGGGGCTTCCGCCGGCTGCAGGTACTTTCGCTTTCTGCTCCCGGAGCTGCCGTCGGGCTCTCCGCGGGCGGCGCAGGGCTCCGCGGCCTCAGCGCGCAGAGGAGGGTGCGGGCGGCTGGCCGGCCGCCAGGGGAGGAGGCATCCCGGGGGAGGTCGGCGGCAGGTCCCGGGCAGGCAGGAGAAGGAGCCCGAGGAGCGGGGAGAGGCCGTCGGGGCTCCCCGAGGGCGGCGGCTGCGGCGGGGCAGAGCCGGCGGGGGGTTACATAGGGCCCCGGTTACACGCCCAGTGCCGGGTGCGCGGCCAGGGACGGAAGGATGGACCTTGGCAGTGCGCGTGGAAAGAGCCGCTCATCCGCGGGGAGGAAATCCTAAAAAAAAAAAAAAAAAAAAAAAAAGGAGGGAAGAAAAAAAAAAAAGGATTCTGGAGTGGCTCTGTGGGAGGATTTGGCTGCCCAGCGTTCTCCCGAGAGCTTGGTGCCTGGGTGGGTCGGGGAGGAGGGACTGCCAAGGGGTTCCCCATCAGGTGCTGGCTCACCCAGGGTGCCTGGCATCAGCTCGGGAGAGCAAGGTGGATGGTTTTCTTGGGGCTTTGTATTTTCCCCAGCATTGTAAGAAATCTGGCAGGATTGACTGAAACCAGTGAATGGCTCGGGAAGGTGTTGTAGTGTAGACTCAGCTCAAACTCTAACAGACACTCTTGTAGCTAGATTTTTCCCTAGGTAGATTGCAAAACCTATTTTACAATCTATAAATGCAAAATGTGATGTTTTGTTGCAAGTGAAAAGGCTTGGAATAAAATGGGGTATGAAATGTCTTTGTAGCGTCCCCTCCCCACTGCCTCCCACCAACATTGTTTTTGTGGTTTGAGGTCTCTGTCCCTTTTTCATCTGCATCAGCAGAGAAGGCTGACTCCAAAACCCCTCTGTCTTCTCGTAAGGCTGCTTATCTAAGAGTGGGGCATGAGTACCAAGGAATGAATTCATGGACTTGGCAAAGGTGTAGACTCCTCAGGATGTTTTCCACCCATTCTTGCTCACTGGAATCGTGCCACTTCATTCATGTAGAAGTGCCGTGCCAGTACTTAGCACTTTTTAACTCTCAGGGTGATTGTCTCTAGACTGCGCTCTGCTTTGGATTGGGTAAACATTTCTCATTAGGTTTTCTGTGGAAAATGTTTTAGTCCTTCATTATAAGTATTATGACAAGATTGAAGAGTGAGGATGTTTTCCACCCCTTCAGCTTTGAGCGAGTTGACTTTGGTAATAATTTCATGCCACTAATGTACTGTTTGGTCAAGGGATGGTGGTGATGAGTACCAACATAGCTCCATACAAAGAGTACGCATCTGGCTTTGCTTGTTCCCTTAATGCGTGGCAGGTTGTATTTGACAGATGGGTCAGATCTTGAATTTGGACAAGGATTTTGCCCCACTAATAGCTAAGTTATCTTGTTCTTAAATGTTTCCTAAGTTGTCACTCTTTTTATTATTGTTTATTGTCTTCTTCTGCCAAGTATTGTCTGCAGACATGCCTCTGTGCACATTTAAATTTGCTGCTGTGCAATGTAAATTTATGCCTAACTATTTTTGTGGTCTGGCACTTAAAAACTCAAAGGTTTTGAAAAAGCTTCAGAATAAAGCATGCAAAAGTATATCTTCAAGATCAACTTTATTCCAGGTACATCCTCCTTCTGATTTCTTGTGATTGTACATGTGTGCTCACATGTGACACGAGGTATTTTATGCAGGTGTTAGTAAATTGTCAGGGGGTAAAACACACGGGAAGACTTCTTTAGCTGGTTTGGTTGTGCTAGTTTACTGGCTACCTGAAACAACAAAAGGACCGATAATTGTTTCAATTTAAATTCAAAACAAAGCTCGTTGTGATTCATGGGAAAAGGCAGCATAGTAGCTTTACATATTAATAGGATGATGACTCTAAATAGTGATGCCGGAGTGTCATAGCAGTTCTGCTGTTTTCTTTGGTAGTGGCAGGGTCTTGTCTTGCCGTTTTGTAAGATGAAGATTCTGTGTGCTGAATGGATGTGGGACTTTTCCTTTAATCAAAATGAGGAATAAGTGGCGTGAGCTGCGCTTTGGCCCTAGCCCTGGACCGTGGTATACACTTATGATGCAGATGTTATTTGATGTATTTGTGTGGGTTCGAGGTTTGACTAATTTTTATGTGTGTCTGTGTTTTTTTTTTGTTGTTTTTTTTTTTTTTTAAATGTTTGGAGTCATTATATGGATTTTGTTTTCAAAGCACCTCTTTCAGTGATGTAGTAAGGATTTTTTTGGAAAAGATTACCTACAAAAGGATCAAATACAAATCTTCAGAAGTGTATAGTCAGCAAATATAATTGCCTATTTTTTTTAAGAATGAATGGACACCACTGAGTTGAAATATTAAAAGAAAGAATTTGACCGATTATCCGAGTATCATCTTACCAGCCAGTTTTAATCAAGAACTCATGAAAGGAGTCTTGAGGGACTGCTATAAAAGTTTTTTTTTTTCACCTGAGACCAAGTGATGGTGGTTTGCCCATGTTGCAAAATGTATTTGGTGCCGAGCTGTAGCTAGCAAGCTCTCTCTCTGGAGCAGGACAGAGCTGTGGCTTGGTGGGTGAAACCTTCGGAGGGAGAGTCAAACTGAAACACTCCTGTCAAGTTGCTTATACTTCAAGTGTCCCACTTCTTTTTAATACCGTGGCAGTTGATAGAACTATCTATTTTAATACGAGACATGCTAGGTTCACTATGTAAATTATTTGACTGAGCAAAATTCCAAATAAATGACTTCTGGAAGGATGCAGGATAATGCAGGGTATTAGTGCAAAAGTGTGCAGTTTTCTGCTTCATCCACCTTTCAGGAATAACTTTTAAAACAGTAAAAGAAGATACTCTGAATTGCATTGCTAACAACTGAAAGGCACCAGTAATTTTATCTGTTCATGGATGAACATACTTCATGGTTCTGTTCCGTACATTTTTTGAGGATAATTTCTCAAAGCTAATTTGATTTTAAAGGAGATCTAATTGTCTCCTGACCTGGTAAAATCTGCTGCTTGGACAATCAGCTATTTTGGCATTATATATTGATATCCACTGGAATACCAATATTCCTGGATAACTACATGATTGCAAAGCACATGATTTCTTGTTAAGATCCCATTCTCGTAAGACTAAGTACTTCTGGGAATGTTGCTGGCTTTCTACAGCTGTTATTTGTCAGCTTGAGAAGATCTTTAGTTGTGCCTTTAGATTGGACTTCAGGCTGCTTGCAAAGTTGCGCTACCATTAATGAATGATTTTATTATTGGGAAAAGATAGTTTAAAAGTTAGAACATTTTTATTTTATTATGGAGTAAAATGTAAGTGCAATAGTTGTCATGACTTCATGCAATTCATGGAAGTGTGGCCACTGCTGCGAATGCACTTATTTTTAAGAGTTAATGTGTCTGGTACTTACGTTATCCTCATCTAACTGCAGGGGAGGGGGGAGAAGTATGTTCCCTCTACCTCCTCCCACCCGCCAGAAAAACCCCAAACCACAAAAGGATCCTGGATGAACCGCAGTTCAGAGTTTATTGTGCACCCAAAACTTCCCCTGGTATCCATGTTTGGGAAGTTCAAGTCTTCTGATATATTTAAACAAGAGCAAGCAACCTAATTGTGTTGCACCAGAACTCCCATTTTGTTGAACTGCAGTTGCTACTTTTTCTGTACAAATCACTGGAAAAACACATGAAATGGCTGATGCACTGTGCTTCAGTGCAGAGCTGTGACATGCATGCACTCAACTGTAAGGTGGCTATCTGTTTTTGTGTTGTTTTTTTGTTGGTTTTTTTTTTGGTGTGTGTGAGAATTCAAGGTAATTTTATCAACGGAAGCTAGGAAAGAAAAGAAAATATTCCTGGAAAACTATTAAGATAAGGGTTAGGGAAACATGTGAAGCTCACAGGAAATTTTTGTTATCAAGCTATGGAAAACTATTTCTTCAACAGAAGGTGGCAATCATTTTATCTTATTGTTTTGCAGGACAGGAAGATGCCTATAAAGATTTTAGCACCACGGACAAGATGCCAAATAATGTGATTTTAGCAAACCAGCGGTGGGATGGGGGCGCCTCCTGAGGGCAGCAGTGCAGAGGTGGAGGAAATCTCATAGGTTGGGGCAGTGCTGATGGGGAAGCAGCTGCCGGGCAGGCGCAGGGTGTCCAGCAGGCATGGGGATGCTGGTGCCCCACCAGGGCATCCTCACCTTGGATATAAGACAAGCCCTGAAATTGGGGGGGGAAAATTGGAATGGGAATTCGTAGCTTCAAACCTGAACTTGGAAGGTTCTAGGCTCTGCTTGCCCCTCTGCTAAAGTTCTTAGCTCTTGAGTTGCTGTGATCATTATTTGATGGCCCATAGGAAGAGGGATGCTGGGTCAGTTCACCAAGGGGAAGGCTCCATTTCTTGTATTTATTTATTTTTAGAATACTTCTGTTAGAAGGATTCTAACAATGATCGAGCCCAACTGCCTGACCGCTTCAGGGCTAAACAAAAATTAAAGCACGTTATTGAGGGCATTATCAAAATGCCTCAGAAATACACCCCCAAACTTCTTCAAATGGGCAGCCTCAACTTTCCCAGTGCTCACACTCCCCGCTCACCCAGCTGGGCGACAGACTCCACGGTGGCTGGGTGCTGGGGCAGGATGTGGCCCTGCTCCTGGACTCTGAGGCAGCATCCATGAGGCAGGAGCTATTTCTTTTTCATGGGTCTTGAGCAGCTGGAGCCCTGTGTTGCAGTGACGGGCTTTGGTGCAGTCATCCTGTTAAACAAGTGGAAGTTTTCGAGCTGGTGGCTGCCTGTCTCAGTGCCTTGGAGGAGGCTGAGTGGGAGAGAAAAAAAAAACATTCCAGATGCGGCACACTGCAAATCCGACTTCTGCTTCAGTGAACCATAGAAAAAAAAAAGAAGGGATTGGAGCAGGAGGGCTTTGCTAATGCATTTTCTCTTGCTTTTCCTACTTTATAAAGTACAATGTCATGTTTGTTTGTTTTTATTTTTTCTTTTGGTAGTGGCACTGGTCTTTGCAAATATTCACCTGTACTGAAATAATGAAAATGTCAATGCATTGGGAGTTCATGTAGGTTTGTTTTTGTGTTTCTAAGAGTGCTTTCCTATAAATATAATCATTTATATTTTACTATTGGTGCAAACTTACATATTTTCTAGTGATGGCTCTTTTTTATAATGCTATGTATATGAGTACAAAAGGGCATTTATTTAACTTTTCTTTCTAATTTTCTGTTGTCTTCCTTTCCTTGCCTTCCTCGCTTTTTGCCTCGCCTTTTGCCTTGCCTTGCCATTCCCTGCCTTTCCCTGCCTTTCCCTGCCTTGCCTTGTCGTGACTTGCCTTGCCTTGCCGTGACTTGCCTTGACTTGCTTTGCCATCCATCCTTAAGATAATGTAGTTAATACCCAAGACAACCTGTCCATTTTTCCATTTTTCCATTTTTCCATTTTTCCATTTTTTCTTTTTCTTTTTCTTTTTCTTTTTCTTTTTCTTTTTCTTTTTCTTTTTCTTTTTCTTTTTCTTTTTCTTTTTCTTTTTCTTTTTCTTTTTTTCTTTTTCTTTTTCTTTTTCTTTTTCTTTTT